AAGTTCATCCCTATTGTCCGTTCTGCAGCATGGGCTGGCATAGGGTTCAGAACAAGCATGGAATATGTATATGTGTGTGTTGATGATTTTATGCATGATTACGGTCTCAAGAATTTTGCTGATGAGCCCAGTGCCTTTTACGGGGTGTGTACCTTACCTAATTATGTTAGTCCTCTAGTGTGCTTATTTTGTTTTTAACTATAATCTTGATAAAGTACGTTTTAGATCGACATTTCTTTAGAGTAGTTTTCCTCTTCAAGTGCATATTTCTACTCAGTAGTTTTCATCTATGATGTTCTTTTAGATCTCAACTGTTTAGTGCATTCACAAAGCATTGAAAGCTATTTACTCTATTAGCTTTTCAGAAGGTTTGGTGCTTCCTTACATGATCTTACCTGCAAAAGGAAAGAAAAGTACCTGGGAGATGACCTTGGATTGTATAAGGTTTTATAAACCATAGGGACACAACCAATTTTGATTGGGATGGTTGATTGATTACTTTGCATCTGATTTTCAACTTTTTTTGGTGGTCAGGTGTTCGATGGACATGGTGGGAAGCATGCTGCTAACTTTGCTTGCAATCATTTGCCAAGGTTCATTGTTGAGGATGAAGACTTTCCTGGAGAGATTGAGAGGGTTGTTGCTTCAGCATTTCTTCAAATTGATACTGCTTTTGCAGAAGCTTGTTCATCGGATTCAACCCTTGCTTCTGGTGCCCCTGCTTTGGTAGCTCTTGTTCTTGGGAGGTTAGAATTGTCTGCTAACAGAAATTATTTTTGTTTGAAATATACTTTTATTTGGCTTAACGTGTGATGCAATAGAATCACCACATGCCTTTAGTTCGGAGGCATTGTCAATTAATTACATGGTTTGCTAATGTGTATTAACTGCTAAGATAACGGATGGCTATCCAATTTCACTCTTCCTTTTTCCAGTGATAAAAATGATCTCTATGGTCACGCTGTAAACTAATTCAGTATTCAAACAAAGTCAACAACAATGGTTTCAGTTGAAGATTGCAAGTTGTATTCCGAATTACTTCTTTTTATATTCCATTATTATTTTTGCATTTTCTTCCTATTATAGTGACAATTTTAATATACCTATGAACTTAGAGGAGTAATAACACCAGTGCATTGTTTCTGTGATGGTATATGGTGGTAAGTGAGCATTAAAACTTGTTGGCAAAGATTATTGGGTATGTATAAATAAGCTTAAACAATATGAAAAAGAGTGGTTTAAATTCTGTTGCAAGGCAGCGCTTATAAATCTAAGAGATGGATATGAATTTATTATATTTGCTATTTCTTTTATGTTTGATTCCCTCTCCTTGGGTATCATGAGTCTTCTGTCAGATATTAATTTTACTATCCAGGTTAACTAATGATGATATGATCCCATCACTTATTCGTTGACTTACTTTCTGACTACAGAATGTTGGTTGTGGCAAATGCGGGAGATTGTCGAGCAGTTCTATGTCGTCGTGGAAAAGCAATTGAAATGTCAAGAGATCACAAACCCATGTGTAATAGAGAGAGAAGGCGCATTGAGGCGTGTGGAGGTTCTGTTTATGATGGTTATCTTAATGGGCAGCTAAATGTGGCTCGTGCATTAGGGGATTGGCACATGGAAGGAAATAAAGGTGCAGACGTGGACCGCTAAGTGCAGAGCGTGAGCTTATGACTGCAGATCTAACTGAGGAGGATGAATTTCTTATCATAGGATGTGATGGGCTTTGGGATGTTTTCCTAAGCCAGGATGCAGTTGATTTTGCTAGGCGGAGGCTTCAGGAGCATAATGATCCTGCCATGTGCAGCAAGGATCTGGTGGATGAAGCTTTGAAGAGGAGAAGTGTGGATAACTTGATTGTTGTCGTAGTATGCTTGGAATCTAATCCACCGCCAAACTTGATCCTTCCTCGTGCGAGAGTGCAGAGGAGCTTTTCTGCTGAGGGTTTAAGGGAGTTGCAAAGCTTCTTGGATAGTTTGGGAAACTGAGATGGTGATGACTAAAGCTTGCTCTATATTTACGTTCGGTAGTAGTTTTAGGTACGGAGAGAAGTGAGTTTCAACTGTAACATACGCGGCGGAGTCATTCCATCGTTTCCAAAGTAGGAGCTTATATTAATTCAACACCTTCATTTTGGCCATTTGTTAAGGCATTTGGAGTTATTTTTATGCTAAAATGCACGTCTTTAGGTGCAATTGGATGCTTCATTCATTGTTTATTTTTACTCCCGTTTGGTTTGAGAAGAGCAAAAACATTGTTTGATATGCTTTTGCGTGACGGCTTGACCAGCTTTCCTTCATTTATAATAATGCTTTTGTATTCATACCCATGTTTTTTTATTGATTTTTTCAGTCCTTTAATTGTATAAAAATTAAGTAAAATTTTGTTTTTAGCCATGTATTCAGAGACATAGTTAATTATTTTCTTATTTATTTACTGATCAAAATACTATAAAACGATAACATAAATAGTAAGTAATTAAAATGTTTTTTTATGTTAACATTTATAAAATGGTTGGTTGTCCCTTGTTTCCATATGTAATGAGATAAGGGGAGGTAAGATAGTAGGTTGCCCCAACACTATGTTGAGAGCAACTTCCGTAGGAAACCTCCAAATTATGAAATACCCTCCATGTGACTCGATCACACGACCTCAAGATTAAGAACCTTGTGCTCTACCAACTGAGCTGGATGGTCATTTCTTAACATTTATAAAATAAAAGGGATAATTAACTTATATACCCAATTATATAGGAATCAAATATAAGACATTTATCTCTCTCTCATTGAAGAGAGAGAGAGAGAGACTTTTGTATTCCATTGATAAAACAACCCACTTCCCTTGTCTCCAGGATTACACTGTGCGACTCTGTCATCTACCCTCCTCCATCGTATCAACATATGAATCGTTCTAATCTGACTTTTGTACCTCTATTATCACCTGATGACGGAGAAATAGGCGTGTGAAAATGGAGGCCTGCTTCATGCGACTGTGGGGGAAGATTTTCAACTGCTTTTTGGAAGCTTCGCATAGGTCAAAAGGAAAGAGCTTGGTTTTGGTAAGATGAGGTCACAATGTAACCTAAATTAACCTAAACAAAGCATATCTCCTTTTATGGTCAAAAACATAATTTTATATGTCAACCTATATTAATGCTTTTCGAAGATTATTGTTTATATTGTTTTTCGTTCATATATTCATAGCTTGTTTTGAATCTAAAAAAGTACCACATCTATTAGTAAAATTAGTTACTCGTATGCTTTCAAAATTTTGTTTACTACAACACAATCTTTGAGCTTCTAAACATTTTTTTGTTTTGCATAGAACAAATAACTAAATGTACTCGAAATTTGACATAGATTGTATGTGAACAGAGTATTGACTACAAAGATTGGATTAATATAAATATAGATTATGATATTTAAAAATAATATTAAAATTGGTTTTTATTCTCACCGTGTGAGAAACGGCGATATGTATTTGACGATTCGTGATAGACGGCCATTTCGGCTAACCACTACGTTACATCTTCTAATGGCACCGAAAATGATAGATTCCAGAAAAAGAAGAAAAGTGGCCAATCTTTGACAGTAATTTAAGTATGGGTAGTTAATGGGTTGGGGATCAAGTTAAGATGCAGAGGTTAAAATATTTTATTTACATTTAGGGTAAATTACACAGATCCCCCAACTATAGAATACTGTTTTGTTGAGTCTTTCAATTATTAAAAGTTACAAAATAGTCACTCAATTATTCATTTTATTCCAAACTCGTCTTTTTCGTTAAAAATAACGGTCATTTGAGTCGGACACTAACACGGTGACTGATATATGATAGTCTTTTGAGATTATGAGATCATATTTTATCATATCTCAACCAATAAGTTAACGTCCAACTCAGATCATCGTTAAATTTTTAATGAAAAATGACGAGTTTGGAATATAATAAATTGTCGAGTGATCATTTTGTTACTTTTAATAGTCGAGGAACTCAACAAAGCAACTCTCTACAGTCGATATACCATTTTATAACTTTTAATAGTTAGAGATTCAATAAAACAATATAATTAAAAATATTTAAAAATATTTTTTTATTTCATTAAAGAGTTTATTATCTATCTAATTCAACTTATTTTCATATTTAAATTAATACATGATTATAATAAATAAATAAATAATAACTATAATTTCTTATTCTACATCTAACAAAAAATAAAAGCATTTATTCATTTTCTCTCTTTTATACTTTTTTTTATTGGTTCTACTTTACAATCAGTTTTGTGTTCGTTTTATCATTTTATTTTTGGGGACAAGATAATACTATTCATGTTCTATATTTTTATTTTAGGTAAGGAAAAGGATACTATCATAGGTCTCGTTAAAATATTATATATTTTTATTAGATGTATAAATATTAAAAATTATGTATTATTAGTATAATTTTTATTACGATTATATAAAATAAATCAAAATCACTTCTAAAATAATAATTATAATTCTCTCGTTCCAAATTTGTAATGCGTTAAAAGTATAAAAGTTTTAAAATATAAAATTTAAATAAGATAATATTAGAGTATAAAACTTTTAAACTTCTAGAACCTCATCCACATAAAAATGTAATAGAACATGGAGCATTCGCCTCCACTTGATTAAATGGAGTAATTGCAATTGTAATCTCTATCAATTGTCAATATTATATATAAGTCCTTTTGAAGCAACTTTTTTTTACTTTGACCCATACAACTTTATAATTTTATTTTTGCCTCCCCAATAATACGAATTCCCTGGCTTCACCTTGCGTACATATATTTTTTAAGATCCTCACACTCTAATCCTATGTAAAATGTCAAACTCATTTTTCTATTAATATTTTTTAAAAAAATATATAGAAAAGATTAAAGATAAAAAGTACCATGAATTAAACCAGATATAATTCATGGTGAAAAATACAAATATTTTTATAAGGGGGAAAATCCAGATAGAAACCCTTTTGACTTTAATAGATTAATGGTGTTGTCTAGGAGGCAGAAGAATGAGATCCATAAAACGAGTACAGTACGGCAATCTTCAAAACTTTAGACCCTGGCACGGAAAAGTATAGCAGTACATGAGTTTCAAAGCAATTATTGATTTACATATGCACACGAATGCAGAATAGTTTTGTCAAGGGAAACTTAATAAAGGGTCATATAGTAGTGTTCATACTGTTGGAATTCGATGTTAATGGATGCAGCAGAGGGGTTTGCAATGGCGCCGAAAGCAGTGGTGGAAAGAACAATTGTAGCACCGCTAGCAGAAGGCCTAGACACCGATGTGTCAGCTCGATCCACAATCTTAATTTGTATAGTTTCACTTGGATTGCAAGTTCCGGGGATAGCCGCACTGATGCACCTAACCAAGTATTGTCGCCCACATGAAGCACCGTTGTCCCATATCCCATCACCAGCAGCCGCAAACAAGTTGTTCGTCGGAAACATGGAGGTGTCGCCCCCGAAGCAGGCGGTGGCTGCACCCAAGACAATTAAAAACCTCGTAAACACTTCATTGTACTACGTATATACCTCGTAAATAATGATCACTTACGAAGATATGGAGGGCTGTAATGAGCAGCCGTGCCGACATCGGCGAAAGACGGATGGAAGAACGTTGTTACCAAGAAGAAGATGGTGAAGAGCCATGGATGTATCTGCTTCGACATTTCTCCTGCAGAATTCGAAGAAACTGCGTGGGTTTCTTATGAAGAAGTTGTAGGCGTAGGGAATTCTTATAAATAAGCATGGTGATGCTGATTTTGTAGATTTGTTACCTTTTTTCTACGACCGTTATCTATCATAAAAAGTAAATAAATTAGTGCTATGTACGTTTGAACATATCAAGACTGGGTGTAAATATAGAACATTCCATAATAAATAAGCTATTGAAGGAAATTATTTAATGTAAAATAAATAAATATAATTCATCTTTTAGTTGTGTGTTATGATTATATTTGTTCATAATCTTATTTAACCGTTAAAATACATATTTTATAGACGCAATCACTAGAATCTAAGACCTCAAGTAAGAATAACATTCACTTCAACCACTAAAGTCACTCGATAGATTCATATAAATAATCTTCTTACACTATATTTTTATACAAAAGGCTTTCATGCATGGATCGAGTTGGAGGTGAGAAAGCCGTCGCTTTGAAATTTTAAAATTCTCCTATATATAAGTCAATTCTTTAAATTTTATTATTAATTTAATTTTTATTAAAATCTCATTGAGTGATCTCAATAATAATAAAATATTAATTTCCTTAAAAAAATAAATCCAAATAATTATATCTATAATATAAATACATATTATCAATATATTTTAAAGAAAATTTCGGAAATATAATACTTTGTCTCGCAATAATTTAACAGGACCAGTACTACTAGAGCTTTCCGCTCTAATACAAATCGAGTGTGGATCTTTCTTGCAACAACTTGCGGAGAAATCTCTCCGCAACATGTGGGATTATATAGCTTGGCTTATGCGTCTTTTGTGGCGTTTATGTTGTGGTGATATTGAGTATTGCAGCTGTACTTTACATTAATGATTTATCCTTACTGGAGACGAGCATGGTTCTATATTATACAGGGAAATGTTGCTACTATTTTTTGGGAGACCATGTTCTGCCTGAGAGATTGTACTGTACAAGTTAATATGTAAGCCAATGTTTATTTACTCATAGTACTCGATCTAAGATCTTTTAAAAAAAACACAAATCAAGATATCTCAATAGTAAATGAATTGTTGTTATTCTTTGAGATATCAGATTCAAGCAATATGAATGCTAGGGGGTTGTGAGTGTTGAATGTCAAATGGTTGAAAATTATCTTTAAACATATACTACCTTATACTTAGCCTAGATTAATAAAAAAAATCCTTTAATAAAAAACCAAAGTACGAATTTCCTTTGAATTTGTGCATTATCCAATTATCGTCAAAATCAAAGATTAGCTATATATTTTTGTTCAAGTAATCCAATTTCACTATTTAAATTATATCCAATTTCACTATTTAAATTATATCTATGCGTTATTCATTTAAAATTTATATTTACGAAGAAATTCATTTGAATTTTTTGTATTTACTAACTTTTTAAAGGAAAATTTTAATCAATTAATTTAATTCGTAATTTGATCTAGTATATTAGATGATAATAACATTGTGTAATGTCCACAAATTACTCTGGAAAGAAAAAATAAAGAAAAAGAATACTCGCTAAAACATACAGTCTGTTGGACAATTTAAAGCAAGAAAAAAAAAGTTAAAACGAGAATTACTTTTGTATAGGTAAAATATTCCTTTTTGTCTTCGTTTGGGTCATGGGATTAGATTACTGCTAGTTGATTCATACGACACTTAGATATATTTTTAATCGAAAGGGAACTTAAGTCAGCCTCAACTACGTTGTTGTGAGAACTCAAGGTTAAACACCAATGTGGTTAACCAAGCCACCAAGGTTAAGCGGAAATGTAAACAGTCAGAACTTTTTAAGCCACCATGAGAGGCAATGAAGCACAAAGGCTAAGAACAAAGAGAAATAAGCTAAGAAACTCATTTTACGAAGAAATAATGGAATTATCACAAATGAGGAGATAAACTTCTATTTATAGTTAAGCCCCTTAAAATCCAACAGCTTAGATCAATTACATCACGACTTACATTGAATCATACCTTATCAAGATCTCTATCTTTATCTTTATCTTATCTAAGGTATTCAAATTCAAGTCAACATTATCTATATTATCCCTTTTAATTTAAGTAATTATCTCTTATTAATTAAAAGGGATAATCTTATCCTTTATGGAATCTTCTCAAGACAGGGCCAAGTCTGGTTCTTTAGACAAGCCCACTACTCCACACACTCCTGTTTGCGAATATTTACGTACATATGTCGGTTTTAAATCCACATGCCTCAGCATTTATTTCCACCGAACCTAGTAGCGTCTTTGTTGCTCCTCTCAAACGGACTCAAACTTGATCCTTCACAGAATCATCGACATTCTCCAAGGTCTGGGTCAAGCCCAAGTATGTACAAGAAACCCTTAGTACTTGCACATACTCGAACTCAAATAAGCGGACCGTGATATCTGCAACAACCTTCTTTCCTGGGTCAACTATTGGACTCCTCTAATGGGCCGACTGCATCTTCAACAGCCCGGGCTGCTCGGTCTTAATCCAAACGCTGTCGTTCCCTCTTCCCACCTGAGTCCGCAAAGTTTGCTTCTTTTGTTTTAAGTAGTAAATGAGTAAAGCGATGTGAAGAAAGGCATTTGGGAATTTTCAACTTTAAACATTGGAGGATAAAAAGTACTAAATAAAAGAGAAAATGAAGCTAACTTTTAGCATTATAATACCACGTCATGCATTCTCGTCTATAAAACTGCTCACGTGCATGCAACCCAAATTTCCACATTTCTTAAATCTTTCCCTATTTCATGCCAATACACTCTTTCCTTTCCCATTCATTAATTCAATATTTCATTAGATTCAATAGGAATATTGATTAGTATATCGAGGTCGAAATTTTTTAACTTCACGAGTTAAAATTTAGTATTCACGTAATTTTTTTATTTAAATATTAATTAAAGAATTATAATAGTTTTTGTTTTTATTTGATAACTATATGCAATTCTTTTAAAATGTTTATTGTGTTAAAATAAATATAATCAAAATTATAAATATAACACATAATGTCTCATATTAATTATATTAATCTTGTTTTATATTTAATAATCATTTTTCAAATTAATGCCAACCTGGTTATTTTAAAAAAACTATTTTATTTTTCATTTATTAAAGTCTAAAATTATTATTAGACACGCAATCGATTTTTTTTTAATATGGTTTGGTTTGGAGTATTGGTCGTTCATGCATGGAAGTATTTCCCAAAGCAATTCTTTTTCCTCTTTACAGCTTTTCTTTACTCATTCCCCAATAAAATTGTGGGAATTAATTTAACTTTCTCTCTCCCCCCCTTCCTATTTTTATTTTTGATTTTAGGAGTTAATTTGTGTTTGGACGATGGGAAAAGAAAAGAAAAGAAAAGTGAAAAAGCCATTTGCAGGGAAGAAAAAATATGGTAAAAAAATTTGAACCTCGAAGACTCCTTTTCTCATCATTCGGTTTCCAACTCTTTTTTATCGAAACCATACCATTTCCTCCCCTTTCTTTAATTTTTCTTTAATTTTGAACATATCTATTCTCCTCAATATTCTTTCCTTCAAAACATACTTCTAAATATTAAATTCAAAATTTAAATTAATAACTTCATAAAATATTAATCCGATGACAAAGTTGAAGTATGAGAATATTAATAGTTAATGTTCGAGTCTTATTATGTATAAATACTACGTATTAATTTAATTTTATTCTGATTTAATTTTATAATGAACGAATTCTGCCCAGTTTTATAAATTTTATTCAGACCTGAACAGAAATCAATTAGTTCATAAAATTATATTTAAAATATATAAAATATTAAACAAATCTGGTGGCGAACTCTTTTAATTTACTTTTCCCGAAACTTAAAAGATGGGATTCTTCTTTGATTTTTTCAATCGAGAGGTACAATAAATTAATGGAAGTTAGGTTATAACGTACCTTGTGGCCATGCAATAACTTTTGCTTTAACCTCGCTGCATCTTTTGGACTACGTCTCCATGGAAATGATCAAAACTTGACAAACACGGGGGGCATCAACATATTTTATGTACAATTTATAATCTCTATGCTTCTTCACTTCTACGATGTATTAGGTTTGCTCAATGATAATTCTTTGATTTATCGAAACGTATAATAATATTTATAGAATTCAAACGCTGCCCAAGACTTGGAACCAGTTTTTTCAGTACATGGTTTATGTCCAAAATAGCAGTTTAGTCCCTTGTATTAGTTTCAATACATAATCATTTGATATATAAGTTATAGAATGTGAGAGTCCTACATATTTACCTAGAAGACAAATAATTGTGTTATTAGAAGCACTAATTCCATGAATCTTCCAATGACATTACTGAAACTACTTGACAATTATTTAAAGAGATTAAGAGTTTCTCAACTTTTAGGTGTAATTTACCTTAATTTTCTCCTTTTAACTTGAAAACACACACAAAGGAATATTCATAAAAAATGGAAAAGCAACCTTATTTTTTTTGGTATATAGCAACCGTTAAGGGATGGGCATGCTTCAAAGTAATATTATTAAAAGGAGAGAGGAACCCCTCCTTGGGTCATTCTAAGATAAGAATAAGTCGGCTCGGGGTCCCTTTTTTTTCTCTGAGGTTCTTTTAAAGATTTGTGGGATATTCATGTTGTCTGGTTAGAAATACTGAGTTTGTTCCTCCTTAACCAAATCCTCTGATTACTTAAAAGGAAGAAGAAAAACTTCATGGCCATACCTTCACTGCTTGAATATGATAGGAGTGAGGACCCTAATATGGCCGAGTCAAGAGCTGCTCTTGTTATTATGAGATCGAACTAGAATTGGCATTTTCATGTATTTGTGTTTTTATTTATATTTTGTTATGATTATTTGTTTTCATGATGGAGAAATTCAATATCAGGAGGGTGTTGAGAGTATAAAGGGAAAAAACATGCAGAAAGAAGGGCAAATGAGGAAGTAAATAAAATGATGAAATTATTAATTAGCATGTGCTCATGCTCTTGCCATCATTTACATGCAACTAGAAACCCTAAAAAGGAGTTGAGATTGGGGCTTTTTAAATCTTTTTCTTCCCCTTTGGAATCTAATTTCAAATTTCCTTTTTCTCTTTTTTTTCCAATTTTAGTTTATTATGATTCCATTGTTCAAGGAAATTGAAGTGACATGAAGAATATGAAAAAGAAAACCCTAAGCCCTCCAGTGGCCAACCAATCTACTTCCTCAATTCTCCCGATTCTCAAGGTCTAATCTAATCCGCTATATAAATACCCAAACCCCCTTATCAAATTAAACCCGCAACATCTTATCTTCTTCACTGTCATCTGCTTTCTCAAGGTCTGTATCTCTCTGCACTTTTAGGTTTTGGGTAGCGTTTTCAGAGCTTCATTATGAAGTTATTGCATGCATCATGCATGGCTGATTATATATTTATTTAACCGTGTTGTAGGGTAGAAAAATATGAACAGGCCAGGAGACTGGAATTGCAGGTCGTGCCAGCACCTCAACTTCCAAAGGAGGGACTCATGCCAGCGCTGTGGAGAACCGAGGCCCGGTGGCGAGAGAGGCGACTATGGAAGCTTTGGTGCTAGGGGTGGGTCCGGGTCGTCGTTCGGGCTGTTCACTGGACCCGATGTTAGGCCAGGCGACTGGTATTGCACTGTGGGCAACTGCGGGGCTCACAACTTCGCCAGCAGATCAATCTGCTTCAAATATGGTGCAGCCAAAGATGAACCGTCTGGAGGATTTGAAGGTGACATCCCACGTATGAGGGGATATGGCCTTGGCAGTGGCAGCTCCAGTCGCTCTAACTGGAAATCTGGAGACTGGATTTGCTCCAGGTTCATTTCATTCATTGATTGACACACATGAAAAATGCTTGTTTGAAAATAAATTTGGACGTAAGAATTGATGAATAGTTGTTGACATGCTTGAACATAAGGTCGGGTTGCAATGAGCACAACTTTGCCAGCAGGATGGAATGTTTCAGATGCAATGCACCAAGGGACTCCACCCACAAATCTTCATACTAAATCAATAAAATGAATTTTTCATTTTTGGGTATATCATTCTCGTCGGAACCGTCTTTCGGTTGGGCCCCGAATTAGGCTTCGACTTAGATTAAATGAATTGGAGTCGCCACCGACCACTTTAAAACGAATTTAGGTGGGTCGGACACCATCTTACATGATTTGCGTTGTACTAGAAACGTGTCGGGTTCGAGAGTCGGTTACGGTCAAGGAATGATTAGCACCCTTGAACCGCCCTTTCGGTACCAATTAATTTGCCGGCTGTCTTAATTAGCGAAAATTAGAAAATTTAGATTAAAATTTAAAACATCGATTCGAATAATTACCTTTGATCGATTGAAATTCCCTCTGAAAATGCCAAGAAAATGTTAGATGATAAAATAAGAATAAATAAAAAGAGAAAAAAAATTGAAATATATATGTATATGTATATTAATATAATAATAATAATAAAACAGGATGGATGAGTTAGTACGAAAGAAAAAGAAGCTAATAAAATAAAAAAAAGATTAGTTTTAAAAAACAAATAAATAAATAAGAATAAAAAAAAATGAAATAAAGTAAAATAGAAAACAAAATTAAAAGACATAAATTATGAAAATGGAAGAGTCATAAACATTATTACCCAAATTCAAACATTAATAAACATGGCCTAATATATAGTAGAGAACTAAAACATAAACGAGAGAAAGCAAATGCCCAAAACATAACTTTAAAAATATCCCTGGATGATTAAATAATTAAGCTTACAAAGTGTGAGGGACTAAAAATGAGTTATTTCATTTTATTCAAAAAACACGGATGGTGATGAAAAAATGTCGTAGTTTTAATGACCCCAAAACAGTGTCGTTTCACTGAACCCATAAAACCCCCAAACTGCGCCTAATTCCCCACACTCCTATCATTTTCCACACTTCTCTCAAAACCAAGAGAGAGATTCTCTCTCAAGCTTTCCCAGTCGGGTTATCTTCCCTGATGAAACATCGCCGACAACCGCCGCCTAGAAAACCCTCCGGCCACCGCCCACGGTGGTCGAATCCCAACGAAACCTACCCTTCGAAAGCCCTCAACACCCTCAGCCTAACCCCGAGCCCCGATTGCGCAGAACCATTCTTAAATGGCGTAGATCTAGGTTTCCAGCCCTCGACTTTTATCTTTCTTCGTGAAAACCGTTCGCTTCCCCGGTGTTCTTGCATTATTGTTTTGCTTCTTGGCTGATGCTTGTGTTGTGGTTTGTTTACTGTTGGTTTTTTGTGTTTGGGTTTTTCGTTTTCGACTGTATTTGTTGTGAGTTTGTGGCTATATGTTATTTTTTGTTGTGTTGATGTTAACTGTGACTCGATCTTTGCTGTCGGTGTTTGATGTGGCCTTTGTGGTCGTCTCTTTGGTGTACTGTTCTCGCGATGATACTGTGTTTGGTTTCGCTTTTTGGCAGTATGGGTTAATGGTTCTGTGTGTTTGGCTGATGATGGTTTTGCTCGATGATGTGTGTATTGTTGTTGGTTGTGTCCTCTGATCCTCCCTTTGGCCGATGATCTCTCTGTGTCTATTTATACAGCCCCGATGGGGACTGTTTCTGATGATATGGGAGTGCTCATGTATTTTTTGGGCCTCACGTCGTTCTGTTCGTGGTTGGTCGGTCATCCCGGGATGGGTCAATCCCGGGGATCTCGGCTCGCCGTTCTCCCTTTGACTGTGTAACTTCCCCATGCGGCGCTGACTGAGACTGGGAAACTCTAATCCCTTGCTAGGCTGGTTCAAGCCCGTTCTGGTTGGACTTTTGATGGATCATACTCGAACAGTGGACCCATTTGGACCTGAAAAACTAATGAATTAAAAAAATATTTAAAATATATATATATATATATATATATATATATATATTATATAGGTTTTTTTTAAAAAAAAAATTAAAATCATATAATACATATTTTCAAATAATGTTTTAAAATTATATATTATATATATACTTTCTAAAAAAGGTTTTCAAAATCATATACTATATAGTTTTCAAAATGATTTTAAAAACTATATATTATAAATATTTTTCAAACTGATTTTTTCAAAATTATATATTATATATATATTTTTAAAATGTTTTCGAAAATTATATTATATATATTTCAAAATGTTTTTTTCAAAAACTATATAATATATATGTTTTCACAAATATTTTCAAAAACTATATGATATATATGTTTTCAAAATCCATATATTATATATTTTCAAAATGTTTTCTTTTTAGAAAACCATATATTATATAGTTTTCAAAATGATTTCAAACTATAATATATATATATATATAATAAAAAAGATGGACGAAAATGAGTGTCTACAGTTGCCCCTCTTTGTCCTTTTTCGTGGAGCGAAAAATATGACAAAGATAAAAAGACATAAATTTTCGTTCGGTGGAGTTGATGAATAACTCCCTGTCGAATTAGGTTGCAGATGGCTCCTCCGTCGCGAAGCCAGTCCACCTTGAAATGATATGGAATTGAAGTCGTAGTTCGGAATTTGAATCAGAACGTGGCTTCTCGTCACCAAATCGTAGTCAACCTCGGTCTTCTTCTTGGTTTAAAGACCTTGGTTAAAATTCAACTGGAAATAGTTCTTTGAGTCCACCATGTGGTAGATAGGCCCTCGGTCTGAATGAAATCGAACACGAAAGGTATTCGTTGACAGATAGCTTTTCTCGACTTAAGCTATGCTGCCGAAAAATAGTTTTTTTGTCACTGAGGCACAGTTAACCCGAGTCTTCTTCTTGACTTGAAAACCTTGATTGCAACCAAACACTACTGTGATTTAGATGTCATCGAGCTGAATGAAATCGAACTCGACAATTTTATTGGCAAATAACCCTTCCTGCCTTGAGTTATTCTGTAAATTTGGTTTGCCTCTGAGCTGAGTGTAATCGAACTCGTAGGTCTTTGGCAGATAGCCCTTCTCGACTTAAGTTATACTACAAATGATGTGCCCTCGAAGCTGAGTGTAATCGAACTCGAGAGTCTTTGGCAGATAGCCCTTATCGACTTAAGTTATGCTGCAAATTATGTGCCTTGGAGTTGAACGTAGTCAAACTCAAAGGTATTTGATTGACATATAACCCTTCTCGACTTAAGTTATGTTGCAAATGATGTGCCCTCGAAGCTGTGTGTAATCGAACTCGAGAGTCTTTGGCATATAGTCCTTCTCGACTTAAGCTATGCTGCAAATGATGTGTCTTGGAGCTGAGCGTAGTCGAACTCGAAGGTCTTTTGTTGGCAGACAACCCTTCTAGACTTAAGTTGTGTTGCAAATGATATGCCTTGGAGCTGAGCGTAGTCGAACTCGAAGGTCTTTGGTTACAGATAACCCTTCTAGCCTTGAGTTATGATGTGAATGATATACCCTTGAAGCTGAGTGTAATCAAACTCGGGGGTCTTTGGCAGATAGCCATTCTCGACTTAAGCTATGCTACAAATGATGTGCCTTGGAGCTGAGCGTAGTCGAACTCGAAGGTCTTTTATTGGAAGATAACCCTTCTTGACTTAAGTTATGCTGCAAATGATGTGCCCTCGAAGCTGAGTGTAATCAAACTCGGGGGTATTTTGTCAGATAACCCTTCTCGACTTAAGCTATGTTGCAAATGATGTGTCTTGGAGCTGAGCGTAGTCGAACTCGAAGGTATTTTATTGGCAGATAACCCTTCTTGACTTAAGTTATGCTGCAAATGATGTCTTAAAAAATGGCTTCCCTTTACAGGTCTAAGCCGGTCGTAGTTCTTCAGGTGTTCTCCTGAGCGAGTCTGAACCAAATATTATTTTTGGATGATTCCCCTTCACAGGAAAGCCCACAGATAAATTTTGTCAGCCAAATATCTTCTGTCGTTGAATTGAAATCTGGCTTGAAAGTATTAACTGAAAACATGCTGCTCATGGTGAGTTTGAGCCGAACTGGATTTGATCTGAATTGGTTCTCAAACCTATCTGAAATTGGTTCTGAGATGTCAAGTCGGTTGAGGTGTAGCTTCTTACTGCCGAGTTAAGCAACCACCATTCTTCTTTGAAGGCGTTTTGAGAATCGAGTATCATTCATCCTGAAGTTAAAACTTGACTCTAAAAGCTGCAAAAAACGTATATGCTAAAATGATGAATGTGATGCACCTAAGTATGTCTAAGATGCATGCAATATGAATGAATTATGTGTTATCTCCTGGATGGAGTCTCGTGCTTTGTCTGCCAATATGGTCCTTGGAATCGATCGTGCCCCATTCTCTTTTCGAGCTTTGGCTTTACAGACTTTTCAAATCTGAGATTGTTTTGTTTGAAAATGTTTTTTTCTTGTTTAGGAGGGGAAAAATGTTGCTCCTTAATTCAGGCTCGCAAATGAATCAAATTATAAACATGAGTTCAAAGTATATCAAAGGAATCAATAGCTCGCTTAATGCCTCCAGAGTTATAGCTCTTTGACAAATATTTAAATGGATGAGTTGGCTTTAGGTTGACCTAAGGTTTCAGCCATAAAAAGGTCATTTTTTGGACTGCTATTGCAACAGGCTTTTCTTTGGCTTGGTAGTTTAATTGGATGCGGACAAAATGACGCAACTAGCCTGATCAATTATTAGACCCTCTATTTAATCCTCTGAAATCTTCCATTTGTTCAAGTTTTGTAAGCTCTTCTAATAAAGGTAGTGCATAAATATTGGTCTAAAAATGAAATTCTTGAGTGCTCGTGTGTATTTGACTATAACAGGTGTTCCTTAACTCTCTTAGTCCATCATTACCGGAAATTTCTTTCTTAGATAAATTTGATTTAATTTGCCGTTATCTGGCTAGTTGAATCCATAAAGCCGGGGCGTTTAACCAATTACTTTAGAGGGACAACTTAACATTATAATCAGTTTTATCAGGTTTAACTGAAGGGTTCATCTTCTCACAAAGTCTTCGGCCTGACAAAAGCAGTGGAGAAAACACCGAATTGCAAAAGTGTTCGAGCAATATCATGGTTTGAACGTAATCTACTCATAAGGCCAGGGCTTTCAAGTTTCCTCTATAA